AGATGTGTATAAGAGACCGCCACTGAGGCCACTTGCTGTACCTGAGCAAGTTTTATCAGTACTACGGCTTCAAGGTAATGAGTTTTACCATCAGTAAACAAACATATACTAAGTGACCGCATCACCTGCAGCTGATCCAGCGGACAGTGGCGCTGAAGCAACGCAACCCCCGCCTGCTGCTGCTCTTCAGTCTCATGCTCGGCTTCCCAAAGCTTGTGACCAACCACACCGCTGTTGTCAGGTAACTTGGTCATGTTCTCAATGCTTTGGTACCTCTTTTCTGGGCTTTTCTTGGTACTTAGTACTTGCCTTTAGTGCTCCCCTTAGTACTTGCCTTCAGTGCTCCCCTTAGTACTTGCCTTTAGTGCTCCCCTTAGTACTTGCCTTCAGTGCACCCCTTAGTACTTGCCTTTAGTGCTCCCCTTAGTACCTCCCTTTATCGCTCCCCGTAGTTGTACCTACCTTTATCACTTCTCTACCATCGTTCAGAACAACATAATCCCTATACAAGCACTGTCACGTGCCCTCGTGGTGGTGAGGCTTGTAGAGCTGGAAGATGTGACGAGATGTGTATAGCTTGTTGTGGTGGTAAGCATTAATCTGTTATTAATTTTCTTGCCGATTTTGTTCATTTATGTACGTAGGTATTCATTTTGTATATGATTTTAATCTAGAGATATCCGTAGCCTAGGTTTTACTAATGTACCAGAACCCACACTGGCAAGGTTTGAATGTGTGTATTGTCATGTAGCATTGTTAATAAACTGTCATATCATCCGGTCTGGCATTTATTCATTGTACATATATTCTAGTAAGGTATTGCATATATTGATCAGTAGGAGTTAATCTGTATATATTTTAGTTATCTGATTTATCTTCGCTTTTATGCAGTTTATTTTTGTCATTTCTTACCTGGAGTCTGGTGATCGTGACACAAATCTGTTAAATATATGCGTACTAAGGATCAATTGGCACATTATTATCCACAAGGAGATAAACAACTGAGAACCTGGGATGGATTTCCCACATAGTGAAGCTTTAGGTGTTGCAGCCTTGGAAAAATTGCGATTGTGTAAACACTTGGGAACTTATGGGTTGAATTTCTTGCACTGTTGACATTTGGTCAAGTTTTAATGTGATAAAGCTGAAAACTTCAAAAACTGAACTGAAGATACTTTTTGTCGTGTCTAGCTAGCGGTGTAAAGGTAATATATAAAAGTTAATGTTATTTAATAATGTTAAACACAATGTTCCATGAATGTTACTAATGACATGTTGTGTCACAGCTTTGCCTACAACATGCGCATGTTCGTGGAGCAGCGTGGGCTGGATGGGGTGGACGTGGACTGGGAGTTCCCCAAGTGGTCCCCTGGTGGTGGGGAGAAAGCCCTCTTCGTGGACCTCTTGGACCACCTCAGCACTGCGCTCAGGGTCAGCATGGGGCTCGCTGCGTCTCAGCATTACGGCATTGTATCTAAACAGTATGGTGCTGAGAGTGTGGTGAGCTGATGGTGTTGCAGTGCTGATGTTGTAGTGAATTGTAAGTTATTGATGGTGCTGCAGTGCTGGTGCTGAGAGTGTGGTGAGCTGATGGTGTTGCAGTGCTGATGCTGGAATGTGAATTGTAAGTTAATGATGGTGCTGCAGTGTTGGTGCTGAGGGAGTGGTGAGTTGATGGTGTTGCAGTGCTGATGCTGGAATGTGAATTGTAAGTTATTGATGGTGCTGCAGTGTTGGTGCTGAGAGTATGGTGAGCTGATGATGTTGCAGTGCTGATGTTGGAATGTGAATTGTAAGTTATTGATGGTGCTGCAGTGTTGGTGCTGAGGGAGTGGTGAGCTGATGGTGTTGCAGTGCTGATGCTGGAATGTGAATTGTAAGTTATTGATGGTGATGCAGTGTTGGTGCTGAGAGCGTAGTGAGCTGATGATGCTTGTGGGGCGTAATCTACTGCCTGGATTATGGTAGGGCTAGCAACTGTGATGACACTTGAGCGTGATGGCAATAACGATGATAACTGTGATGATTACAACAATGATGATAACCGTAACAATGATGCTACAAAGCTGGCCTTCACAGTTGGTGCAGCCGAGCTACCTGCTGACGGTGGCAGTGTCTGGCATCAAGACCATCGTGGCGACCTCCTACGACCTGCCCGGCATTGCCAGGTGACCAATTGTTTAGGACCTCTTCGTTCATGGTCACGCTGATGCACCGCCTTTGTTGTCCGCTATTCTCGAGCCATTTATAGGCAGGTCTCCTCGTCCCGGAGCTCAGTGTTAGCGTTGAACATGAGGCAAAAGATGCAAGACATGTTGAGGGTAGTGGGGCCATCTGGTGCTGGTGCTAAATACGACGCCAGTTATTTGATGCTTCTATCGATGCCTTCTGGTCCAAACTCAATGTTCTCCAGCAGCCTCCTTCCTCCTTCCTAGAGGACTTCGATTTAATTTTACCGTCTTAAGTAGCGGGGGTTACTGAACACTGATTCAAACTGCGCTTCCAGCAACTCACACAAGCCCTTGTCATCTCCACCGAGGACATCGTTATCCTTTAGCAGGCCCACATGCCCATAGTTTGGCCAGGACTGTAGTGAATGTTAATTTTGGCTGTAGGTAATGAATTAGTTGTACCAGATGGCTTAGCTGCGTCTGCAACACTTCCATCTCACGTTGGCAATAATGGCTTCGATGTTAGATGGCTGTAGCTGGTGCCACAGTCAGTTTCAGCTTGATTTACAATTTTGGTCAACCATCGAAATTTAAAATGCGCGTTTAATAAAACAAACAGAAGGCTGGATGGAAAGATTTTTATCTTTTGTTGTATCTTCGTGAAATAGTGTTATGTTTATATCACATTGGTATGAATGATACACAGCTTCCTCATGCTCCTATTAACCAACATGAAATATTTGTGCAGGAACTGTGACCTGATCTGCCTCATGGGGTACGACTACCACATGTACAAGCCGTACCTGCCCTTCACCGGGCACAACGCCCCCCTCTACCCCAGCAAAGGGTGAGTGGGGTACGCAGCAACTCATGACGTCACCAGGTACGCAGTACCCTCAGTACCCCGCAACTCATGACGTCACCAGGTACGCAGTACCCTCAGTACCCCGCAACTCATGACGTCACCAGGTATGCAGTACCCTCAGTACCCCGCAACTCATGACGTCACCAGGCACGCAGTACCCTCAGTACCCTGCAACTCATGACATCACCAGGCACGCAGTACCCTCAGTACCCCACAACTCACGGTACCGTGTACCCTCAGTACCCCGCAACTCACGGTCCCGTGTACCCGCAGGTCTCTCGGGTACTTCGCTACCCTGAACGTGGCGGCGAGCGTGGCGGGGCTGCTGCGGGGCGGCGTGCCGCGGCAGCAGCTGGTGGTGGGGGTGCCCACTTACGGCCGCACGTGGCGGTGGGTTTGGTACTCACGTGGGTTATATTGACCCACCTTCCTGCTATATTGCTGAGTATAGCAGCAATATAGTATAATATAGCAGAGTATAGAGTACTCTTACTAAATGGAACTAGTCCTAAATGGGTTAGATTGACCCAGTTATACCAGTTAATTCCGGTTATATTGCTCTGTCAACCCCCCATGTTATCTTGCTAGCTGCGCCTGTGTCGTACATTCAGATAAATAATAGGGTCATACTGTCCCAAAAGTGACACACTTTCTTACCTGTACTATAATCAAAAAGCGGAAGTAGCACCCATACGCCGTTGTGCCGGGCGAAATTGTGTTCACTATTTGAACAAAAAGCCATTCATTTTTTTATATAAACTTAATCTAACACACGGGCAGGCTGCTGTCGGAGCGGTGGCAGGGGTTGGGAGCCCCGGCGCGAGGGTCGGGGTTCGGGGAGGGGTACATTTCGTACCCTGGGGCCGTAGGGTTCACAGGGTCCGCGGACCACGTCTCGTGGGACACCGTGGCGGGCGTGCCCTACGCGGCGCGTGGCACCGACTGGATCAGCTACGACGACCCCAGCAGCATCGCGCTTAAGGTGCCCAGGGGCCATACTTTCAAAAAAAGTTAAGAGATCGTAAGTTCATCAGCCAATCATTGACGGCCTTTCAAGCAAAATCCACCAATCACAGACAAGAAAACCGAGCGTAAGTACTTACGTTCACTATATACTTTCAAAAAAAGTTAAGAGATCGTAAGTTCATCAGCCAATCATTGACGGCCTTTCAAGCAAAATCCACCAATCATAGACAAGAAAATAGAGCGTAAGTACTTACGTTCACTTA